TTGGAGAGCGAGTGATGGAGGCGAGAGATGCCGAAACAAACCTTTCTATCTCTCTCTCTCTCGTGTAATGAAATGAAGAAATAGAGAGAGAAAAATGCTTACAGAAATAGAAGAAGGTGGCCGGATAAAGTGCGGCGCGGTGTACCGTTTTACGCTGCTCCACTTATCTTATCGCGAAGTACCGAAATCTGAACCAGGAGTTTTTCTTCTTCTTTACTTCGCTTCGATTCACTTCCACACAGACTGGCGGAGACGACGGAGGCGACGGCGGCCGAGGCACTGAACCACTGAAACGGAGGAATTGTACGGTGTGAAGAAGGCGGAGCAGGTGAGAGGGTGGCAGAAAGATGAGAGGGTTTTGGTTTTCTCTTCCTTTTTATTTACTTTTATGGAAACTTCCGCTTCTGGATTTCTAATTTGATTTTTATTGCATTTTATATATATTCTCATCTCTAATTCCCTCTCTATCAATAAACAAACCCTAATGTTATTATTATTATTATTATTTTTTATTTTTTGAGAAATTCTCTGGTGTTGCATCATTGTTTGTTAAAGTTTACCGGGTTGCCTTAAATATTGTTTTCATTTATTACATTTTCTGCTTTATTTTTTAATGCTGATTCGCTGTCCTGTTTTTATTCTTTATATATATATATAGCTAAATTATTCTAATTTTATATAATTTTGTTTTTATTTCAATATTTATATTTTACAAATCCCGAGTAAAAATACTTTCGTGACCATCAGTAATTAAAACTAATGCTGTCAAATTCGTGAACGTACTTCATTATCAGATGTTCGAATTTTCACTCTCGCTTGCTATGAACGAAAAATAATTTCATTTAACTTGTTCACCCGAACGGTTTTATTTTCAAGTAATAATACTTTAAAATTTCAGACGATCGTGACAACTAAGAATTAAAATTTGGGTAATGCAGTGAATATGCTTCATTGTCAGATGTTCGGGTTTTGACTTTTGTTTGCTGTTGAACTAAAAATAATCTCATTAAGTTGATCGTCCGAATAATTTTTATTTTTTGGTATATTATGATTTGACGATGTTACCGAACATTGTAGTTAAGGTTTCTATCGTGCCACATATGCGTGGAACTAACGAGGTAACGAAAAATGCATATTAAAAATAATTTTTAAAAGTTGAGGAATATATTCGAAACAAATATGCATGGAACTAACGAGGTGACGAAAAATGCATATTAAAAATAATTTTTAAAAGTTGAGGAATATATTCGAAACAAAGTTAAATATCTTTATTTTGAAAGTTGAATATATTAAAAAACACGACTAATTCATTTTAACCGCGTTTAAAAAAAAATGTCATGCTTAAAATATGTGGTAACTCTAAAAAAATGCAATTAATTTAATATATATTATTGATTTAAATATTACATACTTTCATTTCTAGATTTATTTAATCTTCGATTTTTTTAATTTATCTTCCATCTGCACGGTTATTCGTTTTCTAAGTAGAATGTATGTAACGGTCCAAGTCTAACACTAATAGATATTGTGTTTGAATTTTTTTATTTCGAACTTCTCTTCGAGGTTTTTAAAACATATCTCAGTTGCTTGTACTCTCAGATGCCATACATTTGGTAGCATGATGTGCTTGGAAAATGATATCAGAGCCATAAACCAAGTGGTATACTAGCGAAAACGCTGGATCCTCAATGGGAGTGAATTGTGCGATCTTATATCAGTTTGAGAGGGGAACGAACCATTATTTATAAGAGTGTGAAAACCTCTCCCTAACATATGTATTTTAAAACCGTGACAGCGATACATAACAAGCCAAAACAAACAATATCTACTAGTTGTGGATTTGAGCTGTTACAATGTACGTACAATTTATATATAAATATAATTTTGTTGTTATTATTCATGAAATTTGAATTTTTCACGGGATTTAATTTTAGTAGCATATTAATATTTATTATTAATTAGTAACAAAAGCGGACGTCACAATACATTTTTATTAAAAAAAATAGTATTTTTTATTTTTATTTTTTACTTTTGAATTAATAAATATGATATTAAAATTCATGGGACGAAGCCGTTTCCATCTTTTTCTCTCACTTTTAATTCTGGAATGATACAAGTGGGAATCAGGTTCGATAATTTTTTTTTTCATTTATATATAATTATTTTTTAAATATATTTGACCATTTTTATTAAATAATTGTATTCAATAATTATTTACAGACAGAAATATAATATTATGTTATATATAATTATGGGCAAAAAAAATATAACATTTTTATTTATTTATTTATTAGGAGCGAGACAAAATTTGAGCATAGATAGAATAATAAAATAATCTCTATCTCGAGTCACATTTAATTAATAATTTTTTTTTGTCAGAAAATTTAGTATTTATTTTATTCAATATATTAAAAATAAATGGTTATTTTATTTTAAATTTATTAGAGTATAATGAACAATAATTTTAAATGAGCTGCAGTAAAAACACTACTTAAATATTAAATTAGATACGCCAAAAAAAATGATATTAATTAAATGTATTATATTAAAATAATATATAAAGTATTTTTTACTTTTAATTTAATAAAAATTGACTCTTTTAATTATGTAATTTCTTTTTGTTTTTATAATTACCCATTAAAATGAATGAAAATTAGCAAAATAAAAAATTTGAAAATTACTTACAAAAAAACAATAAAATATTACATTGCTTTTGTTTTCTTTTATATATTTAACAATTTTGCTAATTTAAATGATTATTTCTCAGTTTTAAAATATTGAAAATGACTTGTAAGTATTAAGCATATAAATTATATTAGTTGTCATCATTGCTTGCTTTTAATATTATTTTCGTTTTTAAACTTTAGTCTTTATTAATGCTGTTATGTTCCAATAATAATGATTAAAAACTTTAAATTTTTTTATTATACCATGATTAATTAATTGATTAAAATATTATAACAACAATCAAATTAAAAATAAATAAATAAAATTCTCAATTGTGCAAGTTCGTCTACGACACATTATAGTTCAACTATGCAACGATTGATTTTGATACAGTAAATTAAGTAGGGGTGTACATTCAACCTAGAAACCTGAAACCTGACAACCCGGACCAATCCAACCCGAACTATAAGGGTTGGGTTGGTTTCATTTTTCTAAACCCGAACGGAATTGGTTCGGTTTTGGGTTTATGGGCAAAACTTTTGGGTTGACTCGAGTCAAATAAAAATATATGAAGAATTTTTTCATATTAATGGATTTGCTAGAATGGCTTTCCTCTAGTTCAAGGACACTCACGACTAAGTTCGACGTTAGCTTTTTATTATTATTATTATTTATTATTTTATTATTTTTTAGTTTCTTTTAATATATACATTTTGTTTAATTTTTTTATATATATTTTTTTTTTAATTTTTAATTTTTTTTCCTTTCTTTATATTATTTTATTATTTTTAATTTTATTGTTTTTTAGTTTCTTATATATATATACATTTTTTTATATTATTGTTTCTATTCTTATTTTTAATTTATTTCCTTTGTTTATATTATTTTATTATTTTATTATTTTAAATTTCTTGTTTAGTTTCATATATATATATATATATATATATATATTTTAAAAATACCTTTATTATTTTATTATTCTTAATTTTATTGTTTTTTAGTTTCTGTTGGATATATACATTTTGTTTAATTTTTTTATATTATTGTTTCTATTTTTATTTTTAATTTCTTTCATTTGTTTATATTATTTTATTATTTTTAATTTTATTGTTTTTTAGTGTCTTATATATATATATATATATATATATTTTAAACTCTTTCTTTTGTTTGTATTATTTTATTTTATTATTGTTAATTTTATTGTTTTTAGTTTGTTTTAGATATATACATTTTGTTTAATTTTTTTTATATTATTGTTTCTGTTTTTATTTTTAATGTCTTTCTGTTTATATTATTTTATTGTTTTTAGTTTCTTTTATATATATACATTTTAAACTCTTTCTTTTTGTTTGTATTATTTTATTATTTTTAAATTCCTTGTTTTATTTCTTTTGTTTTGTTTATATTACTTTGTTATTTTATTCTTTTTAATTTTATTGTTTGGTTAATAATCATAGATAGATAGATTGTTTATGAACTTTTAATATATTTTATTTAAAATTGTATTTTAATAATTATACAGGGTGGATAAATAAAATTAAAAAAAAAATTTACAACTCAACCCGAAAATAGAGGGTTGGGTCAAAAAAATCTCCAACCCGGACCATGTACACCCCTAAAATTAAGTATTATATGGTATTATTTGCGGGGTTCGTTTTCTCGAGCAAATAAAAGCGTGGACGATGGTATAATAGCATAATTTAATCATTTGTGTTCATGAAAATAAAGGGTAGTTTTCTCTATTTGTAGTCTCTATAGACTCGACATTGATTGACTTCGGTCAAACTTTGGGGGGTTTTTTGGGCTTGACCCAATTCTTTTCAATGGGCTTAGGTTTTTCAAAATTGACCCAATACTTTTCAAGAGCCTCCACTAAATTAGCTTCAAGTTCAATTCATGATGTAATTTAATTGGACAAGTAACATTATTTAATTTTTCTAATTTGAGGACGTGTATTTTTGTAGTTAGTTCCAAATTTATCAACATGTATTATATTGTTATTTTGTGATTAATTTAAATAAATGACGTGAAAATATTAATCAAAATTTAGAGAATTCGAGAGAGTAAGCGTGACGAGTTATTTCTCATTATATTAAAAAACATAAATCTTATATGGTATTTAATTTTATATTGATTATAGGGGCTCGAATGTAAATTTTTTAACGCTAAGGATCAAATTGAAAACTGTCAAATAGTAGGGACTGATTTGAAAAAAAATAAATTAAAGCCATAGGGGTTAAAATAGTAATTTCATGTCATTTCTTTTTCTTTTTCACGGCGGCAGGGTGTAGGGAGTACGAGAGAAAGCGTGGCGAGTTACTTCTCACCGGGTCCACATCCTATAAAAGCCCTTTCTCGGTTAACGCTATTGCTTCCCCGCGAAAACCAAATTCCATTTTCTCTCAATTGGAGGGACGAAAATTCCAGACACAACAGAGATTTGAAGACCGACACTCGGCCATTGAGACGATACCGTCGCCCATTTCACGATGGGGAACCGAAGATTTGCGCAGGTTTCCACTAGCGATGAGGAAGACGAAGTACCAGTTACGAAGCAGCAACCTTCCAATTCAGACGACAACTTGTCAATTCGTAGGAAGAGGAAGAAGATGAAGCTTCTAGAGGAGGAGGAGGAGGAGGAGGTGGTGGAAGGGGACGAGAGGCATCGCAGGAGTAGAAGAAGTAGTAACAAGGGAGAGAAGGAGGTGGAAGCGTCGAAACGACAGCAGGCGGAAGATGAAGATGAGGATGATCAGTCGCAAGAGGATGCGAAGCCGATTGGGGATGCTGTTAGGGTTTCTGGGAAAGGGAGGGGACGGAAGAGCCACTACAACGCGTTTGAATATGATGGGAACAAATATGATCTTGTGAGTTACTTTGTGTTATTGGTTGGTTGAATTTTGGTGTTGCAATAGTTTTGAGAACTCAAATTAGTTTGTGGTTTTTTAAAAATGTTTAGTAAACCATTTAGTATTTGGAGTCGTATGACTTGAGACAAATGCGAGAATGAAGGCGTCAAATGTGGAGACCTGTAGTCGGTGGTAGCTAGGGCTTGCGGTGTAACCCTAATTCGATGGCATCGTGCTCTGAATTTGTTGTCTCAAGTAATAATATCATGTGCATTTTTTCTGTGATCATAGAATACTTTTGTAGTTTTGTTCACGTCCACGACATGAAACGTTTAAAAAGATGGCAGTATCTCCTTTTGTGCTTCATTAGTCGGCACCATGTGGCCTTTGGTTCATACCTTTTCTCGTTGAATTCTAGATATTGTGCTAAAGTGTAACGAGAAGCTTCTCGTTATAATTGTCCACCAGCGAAGACGAACTTCAGCCACTCCACCTTCATCACTGGTTGTTCTTATTAATTTTGGTTGTTCTTATTAATTTTCCTTCTAATTGTTGGCAGGAGGATCCGGTACTTCTAGTTCCTGAGGACAAGGATCAAAAACCTTATGTGGCAATTATTAAGGTAACGTATGTCCCGGAATTTTGTGATTTACACTTATGTTCTGCACGTTGCTAGGTGATCTACAATGCTTTTATTTGAACCAAGTGGTGTTTCTTTTGGCAGTTTCAGGGTGTCAAAATTCTGAGGTCAATATTCATATTTTCGTGTATTGGTTCTTTGTGTTTGTGGAAGTGCATTATAATGTTTTTTTTAATGGATGAAACAAATGGAGCGAGCTCCCTTTTTATTTTTGATGAACTGCTTGAGTGGGTGCCTGTGCCTATCCCATCTGCGTATGAGGATATGATCCAAATGGGGTGTTCACAAAACAAATTCAAAAGGCAATAGATGATGAAATTGATTTTAGTGGCTTAGTCTTTTGCCATCCTCTCTTTGTAGGAAACATTTATGTAATTATGTCAAGTCAAGTGATTGAACATATGCGATTTGATCCGTTGATACATTCTTCATTCAGTTGATCACTTCTTGTGCTGGGAAATTATCTTATCATTTTTTTATGAATACATTTCTTGTGAGTTTTATTAAGGATGCATTTCTCTTTTGTGTGGTTGATTGACATGTAAGGAAATGCTCATGATCAACTGTCATAGATTGACTTGATAGTGTAAGGAGCAAATTGGAAATGTAAATGCCTATGAAGATATAGATTCAAACTATAGTGACCATTTATGTTAAATATTCTATGATTTTTTCAACTCTGAAAGATGTAGGATTAGGTGGTGCCAACTTGAGCATATCATTGGTTAAGGCATATATCTTGGATCAAGAGGAGCAAGGCTCAAATCATCACTCTACATTTGAACCCAAAAAAAGTTGTAAGGTTGGGTGGTTAGGTTATCCCATGGGATTAATTGAGGTATTCGATAGTTGGATTGGAAACATAAGGTTATTAAAATAAAAGATGTCTAAATCCTAGGGTGATTTTTGGACTCAATCTAAACTGGTACTACCTTTTGGTTAGCCTGCCCCATTCCTTCCCGTGGGGCCATTGAAGACTGAGTATGCAGCAGTTACCTGATGATATTTGGATTCTTTGGGGTATATTCTAAACCCTAACCTTCCATCTAGAAGAACTTGAAGTTTGCAGGAACATTGGGTTCTCACTAAATGGTTTCCGTTTCTAACTTGATATTTTGTTTAGCTTGTTCTTACATGGATGTTCTTGTTTTTATATATATGCACATACTTGTAATCTGCAGAGGAAGTTAGCTAGCCACTCTCTTGTGCCTGAACAGTGGAACTTGGTCCTATTGCTAGGATATTACTCGGAACAAAGATGGCATGATGGTCACTGGGCAGTGGTTTTACCGTCCTGAAGAAGCTGAAAAAAAGGGGGGTGGAAGTTGGCAATCACATGATACTCGAGAGCTGTTTTATAGTTTCCACCGAGATCAGGTTCCTGCAGAATCTGTAATGCACAAATGTGTTGTGCATTTTGTTCCATTGCATAAGCAACTTCCAATTCGTAAGCAACATCCTGGATTTATTGTGCGAAAAGTGTACGACACAGTTGAAAAAAAACTTTGGAAACTAACTGATAAGGATTACGAAGACTCTAAGCAGCAGGAAATTGATGAACTTGTCAAGAAGACTATGTCACGGTTAGGAGATCTCCCTGATATTGAGCCTGAAGATGCCACACCTGATCTGGAAGATCAGTTGAAAACTAAAAGAAGTCTCAAAAGAAAAAACATTTCTCCTCTTGATGTTACAAGAGATGAATCAGAGGCAACCAGATCTGATCACAGCTTAAAAGCTGAAACTCCAGGAAGCTGTCCAACTAATCGATCAGAGTACTACTCCATATTGGAAATACACGATGTTCTAACAGGTGAAACACATCGAGATAGATGGTTGGAAAAACTTTTGGAGGGGGTTCAGTACATATGTCACTCTCCTGAGAACACACGTGAGGATGATACAGGAAAAACTGCTGCTAATGGTGTCAACCATGAAAATAAGAATCCAGAATCGTCGAGGACAGCAGAGAACAATGATAAAGTATGTAGCCAGTAAGAATGAATGTAAAAATATGGAGATGTGCAGATTAGCTTTACTGTTATTTGGTATCTTTTGTAACCCATAAACACATTATTCTTTTTTGTGGTTTTGCAGAGCTGCAAGTCTTTTCTCTGGCCAGATGCAGCCGTTCCGGCAATAACTGGTCTTGAGAAGGTGTCGAATGATGCTCTGTCTGCCGATTTTCAGAAGTATAACCAAAAAATGCGGCAATTGGTGTTCAATCTCAAGGTTTGAAAGCTCTTTGATCTATTGTGTTAGTGCATACTTGATCAGCTATCATACTGGCTTCAAGGTAGGGGGATGCTCTCTTGATTCTTGAAAACGAACAACAAGGATTCCTGTATGCACATTGCATGGCATATCTGATGCCATCTTTTAAGAACCTTCGCTCATATGAATCTGTTACATCTGAGCTTTTTTTCTTTATATATTCATCTCAATAAGAAAGAAATATGCGGAGGGTCAAGGTCAAGTTGAAAACAAAAAAGGATAACCTACTGAATATGAACTTCGGTAGATGCATTCCTTGAATAGGAGTGTTCAACACAGGATGTTCTCTGCATCAAGAACTTAGTCACATGTGCAGTAATAATTTATAACCTTGTTTACTCCATCATTGATTATTTCTTTCTCTTGGCAGAATAATCGTTTACTAGCTCAACGGCTGTTAAATGGAGAGTTGGAACCGTTAAAAATCCTTAATATGTCACCCAATGAGCTTAAGGTAATACAATGATACATAACTTTCCTTTTGTTTTAATTTTAACGCCTAGAATCATGTTAACTGGTACAACTCATGACATGTAACATATCTGTTAGCTCAATTGATGAGCTAGATTGCTGTATCTTTTTGTGTCTACCTCCGGTGGTTTTGTTGGAATGGAATTCAAATATCATATGGAGCATAGAAATGGATAATAAAGCAAGTAATCGCTGATACTTCATTTTCTTTATGGAAATTATATTCTCTTTTCAATTTTACGTGATATATATTATTTGGGTTGTTAAAACGTGCTGTTTGTTTCCATTATGAACTTTCTGGATAAATGTCTTTTGCTTCTGTTAAGTTCAAGATTTACACTTTGATTTTGTTAGAACTTGGGAGAAGTCTCCGCTTCCATTCATGATTTTTAAAACGACTTTAAGCTGTTGGGAGTCTCTAAGTTCTGTCTCATTATAGGTATAGCAATTCTTGATGAAGTATAAAGAAAGCTGGTTTTCTTGTTGTCCGTCTGTTATCATATTCACAAGATTAGATTAATGGGGTGCTTAAAACCAGAGGCAAAACAAGCTTGAAGTAACTTCAATTTTTTTTTTTTGGGGGGGGGGGGGGGGGGGGGGGG